ATGACTTGAGGAAGGAATAACAAACTCAGCCACGGTCCCCAATTCAAATGTCTTAATCTAGTTCTACCAATAACTTAAGGTGGAACTTGTATTTGACACCTCTCTGGACATGAATTTCCTCACCTATAAAAACAACTGGGTTGAATTAACAAATGTTTCCACTTCTTAAATTCTGAATTAGGCAACTACCTTTTATCGTCTCAAGATCTGAGAAAAATTATGGGGGAAACTGAAAACCCTCCCCCAGGTCTCTCAGGCAGTTAGTCACTAGCTCTTCTGGATTTTTTGCAGTCTTGTGTATGTATGTACAATAGCTCTTCCAACATTTGTCACAGATTTGAGAGTGTATAACCTATGGCTGAGGTGGAAACAGGAAGAAGGGCCAGACTGCCAGGGTCCGAATTCTGGCTCTCTTCTCTACTATCTGTATGATGTTGGCAAGTTGCTAAACCTCTCTGATTCTGTTTCCTCACCCATAAAATAAGGATAATACCTACTATGTAGGATGGTTGTGAGAAATAAATGGGAAAATAAAAATGCTTGGAGTCCTGCTACATAATAAATACTAAAAAAAAAACTTATTATAGTTGATATAATTGATGTGTTAATGTCCTACTAGACACTGGGTTCCTGCTCTGGCTAGAACCTTGTCTTCCCATTCTCCATCACAGAACCGCTTTATGATTTCTTCCATGGCACCACCACAAGATAATATATTGAACTTTGTTTTTATTTCCTCTCATCCCCACTAGATTGTAAACTCCATGAAGGCAGAGGCTATGTCTGTTTTGTTCATCCTTAAATCCCAACATCAAACACAGTTCCTGGCTCAGAAGAGTCACTCAAATATTTGTTCAATAAACAGCACATGAGCTGACACTGTTCAATGTTTGCTGAATAAATTGACCTTGCTCAGGGTGATTATCAAAGCTGAAGCACTGGCACAGGTGATGTCTTAGCTGCCCCAGGATTAATGTGAACCCCAGTCCCCAGTATTTGCCTCAGTCAAATCCCACCCACCTGTCCTAGGTCCCAATCCTGATCCAGGAACCACCCTCAACTAAAATTAGCATAGCCACTAAGAAGACAGGCCATTTATAGCCTTGGAGGCAGCAGAAACTAGCTGGGTGGGCAGACAGGGATATAACCTTCCATTCTACCAGGAGTTGAGTACGAAGCCAGCCTGCACTCCTCGGGCTATTTAGAAATGTAGCCTCCAAGGTCCTCTTCTAGCTATACTGAATCAAACCACAGTTCCTGAGTAGAGGTCCTTAATACTTCCAATACTAGCAGTTACAACTCGAGACCCACCTGGAGCCCTATACACAAATTCTGCAGAAAACATTTAGAGTTTCTGGAGGCAATGAACTCTGAGTGTGAGGGAGGTTCCAAGCATCAGGTCCAGGTCAGCTTCAGAATTGCAGGACCCAGATAACTACAGCCAATACAGATCTTTACTGAGAAAGTGACTTCACACAACTTGGTGTACAGGCATCAGAGAGCCAGGAGGTAACAGAAATAGCCTCTGCATACCCAATAAGAGTATCCCCTAGCACAGCACCTACTTTTACTACAGTGTCAGGCTTTTAAGATGGGCATGTATAGGGGCCTCCCTGGCGGCTCTGAGGGTTAAAGACACAGTGCTATCACTACAGCACAAGTTCGATCCCAGGCTGGCCAGGGAGGTGACCCACATGGGGCAGCAGACCTTTCCTATTTCGTCCACTGCTCCTCTCAGCAGATCTGCTTGTTCTGCTCCCCCATTCTGTCTTTGGTGAGTCCTCTCACTCCCTACCCCCAACACCCCTGGCCTACACCCCAGTTCTTGTATGTATAAATAAATTTTTAAAAATTAAAAATAGGGCCCTCCCTGGTGGTGCAGCGGGTTAAAGCACAGCACTAAGAAGCTAAAGCCACTTCAGCATGAGTTCAACCCCCACCTGGGAGGTGACCCACATGGCGCTGCAGACTTCTCCTGACCTCCTCCCCCCCGCTCCCTTCAGCAGTATACTTCGTCAGTCAGCCTGTTCTGCTCCCCACTCTGTCTCTGGTGAATCCTCTCACC